AAGTTGCCATCGTATTTCGTTTTTGGGAAAGTTAAGGGGCTGTCACAGTTTCAATTTGGTAATGAACTTCAATCACAATTTCGTAAATTTTATGTAAAAGTGAGAAAAATCATGAATGTACACAACCCAACTTTAGGGTTGGATGAAGATGTATTGTATTTGAGGGATGCCTAAAGTGCATTTGAAACTGAAATCGTGACTGTACCCTCGTTACCTTTTTTTTTTTTCCCTTTCCCATTTTCAATTTTCCTCACATATGAATTTTTCACCATAATATGGATATCACTCCTTACCCAGATCATCATCTTATTCCTTTTATTCGAAAAGCCGATTGACAAGTGTGGTTTAAACCATGCGTGTGTTTCCCAACTAAGAAACTAAACATGCGGCTTGCATGCAGGTGCGACTTTTATTAATTGTCGGGGGGCTTTTTCGCTAGATATCCATCCAGGCAAAACGGGCCTAGGATGCGAACTGGATTGACATCTAGCAAAACGGTGCCCTAGTATATCCCGAAAGCTGCATGCATGTCGTGGCTCTGGAAAAAATGGTTGAGAAACGTACTGGCAATTTAAACCACTCGTACCTTTCTGGCTTGAAAAACAAAAGTCCGCCAGTTAACACGGTGGGCGTGCAACTTCGGGACTATTAACGTGAAATGGTTGGTGGTGCCAACCAAAATCGAATCCGCACCGGTTCGTTTTTGTTGGCGCGCAGATCGATTTTAGGCTTAGCACCGATAGCCGAGAAAGGTATTGGTGACCATCAGTACTTGACTCATAAATTGGCAGCAGGGCCCTCACCATGACTTTTGGGGGGCGTAAATTGGCAATCCATGAGATGAGATTTATCAATGACCTCTCATCAATGACCCCGAAAGTTGTAGCGCGAATACGACAAAGGCCCACGGCCAGTGTATGGGCGAAGTACTGGTCGTGCAAGATTGGGCCTAAAAAAAAAAATGCCCTTTCAGGACTTTGGTTTTTTTCGTGAGATTCTCGTCATTGACTTACCGTGAGGGCACAGGTGTGCAACTCGTAGTTTGTATATGCTTGCTTGATAAAGGGGGCGTTATTGGTGAGGTTTAAAAGTAGGTGATTGTTGCATGAAAAAAAATGAGTATTTGTGTGTTTGTGTGATACTTAGGGTGTTTGTGTTTATCACATCTATTAGTGTTGGAATGTGTGGGAGTTAGATATTTGACATACCTTGATTCATAGTTGGTGTCGAGGCTGGTGGTCCTTGATCTTAGTCCATATGTCGTATATGTGTGTGCTTGAGTGTTTGTAGTTGTAAGTTTTTTATTTTATTAAATAAAAGTTGTTTTGTCACATGTGACTCACTTAATCGGGCGCTGAACGTGTGGGGCGTTGAATACGCCCACGTTCAGACACATCTGTTTGCACTTGCAAATGCAATGCAGGTGTGTAGTTTCAACCTGCGGTCAAGGCCGCGCGCTTTCCGTTTCAGACTTTTCTACTTTTCCACCTTGCCGTGGCTTTGCCACCGTTTCGACCAAAACCCAACTCGAGGTCCCACGGACAGTTACCGGTATCGCATTTTTCAAAGAAACTGCCACCACCCCCGAAAGATCCACCCTATCGCTGCTTTGCCACCGTTTCGACCAAAACCCAGCGCACGGTCCCACGGGCAGCTACCGGTCCCGCATTTTTCAACGACACTGCCACCACCCCCCAAAGTGTTGTGCCAGCACCTGCCTGCATTTTTCGAACCATCCAACGACCAAACGAGCACGAATGAACGACCGATATAGCGAAGGATGACGAAAATGTCTAGAGGAGAAATGTCTCAAGGGGGCGGAAATGCACCCCTAATGGGCTGTGGACAAGGTAGGATGTCTGGGGGGGAAATGTCTCAAGGGGGGAAAAACACACTCCTAACGGGCTGCGAACAAGGTAGGATCTGTTCTGTGCTTTTCAAAGGTAAAGGTTCTGCAAGTGATGTCCGTCGTGCCCGAAGGACGCTTCCCTGTTCAACCAAAACTCGAAAACTCCAAAAAAAAAAAAAAAAAAAAAAAAAAAAAACCATTATCAACCCCATGTCCCAGTGGTCCGCTGGTCGGAAACTCTGGGCAAGATGGAGGCACCCCTCTATACCGCGGCCGAAGGGCTCTGAGCAAAGCCTACAGCAGCTCGGCCACTTCGCGAGGGGTGCAATGTCCACCCCCCATCACGCCGCTGGGGAAATGGTACCCCCTTCTTCCCCTGAATACAACGCACGGTCATTACAGCCCTATTTAGACTGAAATATACCCCAAACCCATTATGATCAGGCTCGGGGAGGCCAGCAGGGTCGGCGAAATGTTTCGGGGGGTCCAGTGTTCTTTTTTTTTTTTTTTTTTTTTTTTCCTACAAGGAAAGGTAATTGTCATTAGCAAAAGGGTCCAGTGTTCTGAGAGCAGCGCTGTCCATCAAAAGGGGTCGAAGGCCAATATCTGTTGAAGGGGGACTTCGCCCCTGGGCCAGCCCCGAGGCTAGGTCCCACTTCCACGAATTAAGAGGTACTGACCGTAGATTTCGAAGATCAACGGCGTAAATCTTCTAATTTGCGCAAGTGGGACCTTGCCCCCGGTAATATCCCGAGGCGGCTGCGATTGTTCTTCTTCTTTATCATCATTGAGAAAAAAGGGAAAAGCAAAAATCAAACGAGGGGACGGTAGGCAAGCGAGCGGGAAAACCATTTTGAATTGTCTCTGCAACGGCTAGTTCGTATCGGCGGGTCAGGGGTTCGATGCTTCAAGGGCGCGCAGTAGGACTTTCCGGGGTGCTTTTGACCGCATGACCGAAAATTAGAGCGAGTTGAAGATGAATTTGACCGCATTTACGTCCCGATGCCAGTTGACAAAGTTATGGTGCGAGTATGCTTTTACCGGCGCACCGAGATCATCGTCGCAATCCTCCTCTTGGGCATGATCTCACTCTTGGGCACGATTTCAGTTTCAAATGCACTTCAGGCATCCCTGGAATACAACACATCCTCACCCGACCCTAAAGTTAGGTAGTGTACATTCACAATTCTTCTCGCTTTGACACAAGATTTACGAAATCTGGGGTCTTAGCGCATTACCAAAATATGGCGCCATAGTTTGCCACGTGGCAGTGTCTCACGTTGTCATCTTCGGTATTGATTGCGGCACATTGATGGGCACTGCCGCACAGTGTTGTGTAGTGTCATCTTCGGAGACAAAGTGTGCCACGTGGCGCCGATTATGGCGGCATAGGTTGCCACGTGGCAGGATCTCACGTTGTCATCTTCGGAGACCACGTGTGCCACGTGGCAGTGTCCCACGTTGATGATCTCCGGAAGTCGACGGGTTTACGGACTCCTGTTGAAGGAAGAGGGGGGTGGGCAGAAGAATGCGGCTGATTTGGGTGGCGGGTGGAGGCGGGAGTGAAGGGAACCCCGAATGGAGCAATCAATAAGCGGCTGCAGATTAATCCTGATGCCACGTGGCGGCGCTGAAATGTGCTTGATACGAGGTTCGTTGGTGACTGAGGCTAGAAAACGAGAGTTATCGGTCTCATACAATTTTCGGTGACTGAGGTTTTAAAAGAGAGTGGGAAACAGATAGGTATGGTGATGCCACGTGGCGGCGGCATTTGACCTTAAAAGCTCTCAAGTTTACATGCCACGTGGCGGCGACAAACGAATGACGATGCCACGTGGCGTCGGCACATACCACGTGACAGTGGAAACCGGGTCGGGTGGTGCTATGTTACAGCCGGGATCGAGCTTTGAAGAGTGACGACGCTAAATGGACAGGCCACGTGGCTGCGACAGACAAATGATGATACCTCGTGGCGGGGGGCATGGGGGCCATGACTTTACCGTGTGGAAGGTCACGTGGAAGCGACGTGGCCTTTGCGCTTAGCACCCACGGCAACTTGACATGCCACGTGGCCACGTGACGAAATGACGATGCCACGTGGCGGCGGCACTTCGAGTTAACGGTGATGGCACGCCACGTGAAAGCGGAGCATGGGTCGAGTGAAAATGCCACTTGGCGGGGCCTGACAAGCCAAAATGCCACGTGGCGACGGCTCATGAGTTTGTTGTACGGTGTAGAGGAGTATTTTCGTTCGGCACTTTGCCCGCACTCGCATGAGGAGGACCGCGCTCCAATCATTGTCTCTGATGCCACGTGGCGGACGTGAGCAATGTGAGATAGATAGAGGCTGCGGACGGACGACCACGCATTGGTGAGGCACGTGACGGCAAGAGAGAGCTGATGATGCCACGTGGCGGCTTGGCGGCTGAGACTTGAGAGTTTAGCTTGACGTGAAATGTGCATGCCACGTGTCCGCAACAGACAAGTTACAATGCAGTGTTGTCACTAGCCGTTTGTCTTTGCCCCCCTCCTGTCCTCTCCTCCCCCCGGCTTTCCCCCCCGCTTCCCCCCCCCCCCCCCCCCCCCCTCTTCCCCCCCCGCGCATGTGCGTTACCTTCTGCCATCCCTCCATTTCCGCTTGGAGGGTCTTTTGTTGAGACCTACGATGAGTCGCCTCAATGGATGTCTTCGTTTGTGTAGTCGGGGGAACCCACCACGTGGCATCAGGAGGGTGGAAGCTCATCCGGATACGACGGAGCTTTCTTCTTCGATCTCGGCAGCATCCTCTATGGCTTGCCCATATTCATTTTCTATGATGGGTTTGACAAGATGGGGGGGCAATTTGTTCCATCATACGAGATGGAAAGTATCCCTAGCACGGCAACAATACCTCCTCTCTCCGGCCAATTTTTCTCCTCCTCCTCCTCCTTCTCCTCATCGGTCTCCTCCTCCTCCTACACTTCCTCGTCCTTCTCATCGTCATTCTCCTCCTCCTCATCAGATTCGTAGTCCTTGTCATTTTCGTGGTGACGACATCGCGATCCCTGGAGGGGGGAAGCTCTCTTCTTCTCCTCCTCGTTCCTATGGTCAACTTTCGTCGTCGTTGTACACGTGTCCATCACCCGGATACGGAGAACTTTGTGCACGTGCCGTCCCGTCGTCGTCATTGGCAACCAATGAGAGATTTAGGAGAAGAAGAGAGACGACTGATTATCATTTGCCACGTGGATTTTTCCACGTAAGATGCAAGTTATTTAGAACGCCCTCCGAAATTCTCATGCCGGAAGATCATCCTACCACTGGCCAGAAGGATGAGACGAAGCTGAACACTCATTGTTGTGGATATGAAGATAAGGCGGTTGTTTATGGCAATGGCATCGACCAATCATCATCATCATCAGCAGCAGCAGCAGCAGCAGCAGCCGCTTCAGGAGTAGTGGTAGGTGGTGGACAACTAGGCAGGACTTTTGTTGATAAGGTCAGATCGCGTGAGGAGAGATCGTACGGCCTTCTGTTCTCTCCAGAGAGGTTGCTGAGTTGTCGGAGGAGGTCGTCCATAGCATGCTCTTCCGGACTTCTCCTTCGTTATCTCTCCTCCACCTCCTCCTCCCACTCTTCCTGTCCACCCTCGTTGGGTCTCTCTCTACCTCAGCCGCCTCTCCCTTTCCGTTTGCCAGCTCAGTCCTTGGCTTCATCTCCCACTCTTCCCTCCTCTCCTCCTCCTCCTCCTCCTCGGCCTCCTTCTCTTCCTTCTCTTCCTCCTCTTTCTCGTACTGCTACACGTGTCAGTACCACCAGTCTTCCCCTCCTTGTGCCTCCTCTTGGTGATCGCCTCCGTTCTTCAGACGTGGGAATCGGGATCGGGACTGTGGTTGACATCAGGAATGAGAGCAGCGGAGTCGAGAGGGAGGAAGATGGAAGGCCTCGTCCTGATGATTTGTGGAAAAAGGGGGTGGATGGGAAGGGTAGAAGGAGTGGGTGTATGGGGAATTGCAATACCGCGAGGGGGACACCTCGGGAAAGGCGGCGGGGAGGGAAAGGAGGAGGAGGAGGAGGAGGAGGAGGAGGAGGGAGCGAGAAGAGGGAGGTGGGGTTCGATTGCCGGGATGGAAATAAGAGGGCGGGGGGCAGGCTAGTTTGGTGGCGATTACAAAAGAGGAGCAATGCAGGTAGTAGGGTTTTCACGGGCTGGGAGAGAATAGGAGGAGGTGGTTTTGGGAGAGAGGCGAGGAGCACGAGTTCGCTGGCTTGGCCTACTGAAGAAGAGAAAAGGAGGTCTAAGGAGGAGGAGGGAGAGATGGACCTCTCAAGTGGTTTGGAGGTTGTCACGGATGTGGTGGTGGAGAATGGGAGAGAGGGGCCGTACAAAAATTCAGGGGAAGAGAGAAAAAACCCTGATCTCCAGGTGCCGGCGCGTGATTCTTCTTCCGCCGTCTCTCTGGGTCTTCGCTATTTGTTCAGAGAGCATCAATCCAGCCAATCGCATTCTACTACCCTAAAGAGCAAGGATGGGGAGGGAAAGGGAGAGGGGGACAAGGCGGAGGCGGAGGAGGAGCAGGAGGAGGAGGAGGAGGAGGAGGAGGAGGAGGAGGGAGAGGGCGACAGGCATCATGAAATCGCTACAGATGGTGGCGGGAATGATGTCGAGTTCCCGTTGCAATGGCGCCAAACTGTGGCAGGAAAGAGGTTTCTCTGTCCCGCCCCTGTGTCTCTCGAAACGACGGCCATGAAGAGTAGGCTATACGATGGGCGATGGCGCTACGACGGGCCGATGGATCGGGATCCCGGCGGCGGAGGCCAAGGCGGCCCGGGGGAGAAATCAGCTCCGCTTGCCATCAAAACCGTGGCCAGGCAGATTGCGGAGCACAAGCTTACCGGGATGGAGTTGGTGGAGGCAATCAGACAAGAGGGCATGACCCCGGCGCCAAAGGTGTTCAATCTGTTGATGAAAGAGCTTGCTCTTGGTCGGCTATGGCGGTCTGCTGTTGACACTTTTCAGGCCATGGATGAAGCGGGAATTGCAAACAATGAACTCGTTTACGCTAACCTAATTAGCGTGCTGGGGTATGTTTCTTTCGCACCTCTCTTCTCCCTTCTCCCTTCTCTCACTCAATGGGCCGAAACCCCTTTTCCCCTTCCTCTTCTCTCTTTCTCTCTCCCCCTCTTTTCTCTCTCTCCCCCTCTTTTCTCTCTCTCCCCCTCTTTTCTCTCTCCCCCCCTCTTTTCTCTCTCTCCCCCTCTTTTCTCTTTCTCCCCCTCTTTTCTCTCTCTCTCTCTCTCGCTCTCTCTTAGTTCTGTTCTCCGTCGGCCCTTTTGTCCCCTACTGAGCTTCTTTCGCACCTCTCTTCCCCTTCTCTCACTCAATGGGTCGAAATCCTTTTGCCCTTCCTCTTCTCTCTTTCTCTCTCCCCCTCTTTTCTCTCTCTCTCGCTCTCGCTCTCTCTTACTTCTGTTCTCTCTCGGCCCCTTTTGTCCCCTACTGAGCTGAGTTAGGCTATATACTCACACGAGGGCTTTCCTGGATGGATCTGACTGTTTTTCCAGCCTGGCACGGATGCACGTGACCGTAATTACGTCCACATGTATCTTGGAATAGTCCTAGTGTGAGTATGTCCTTGCACTTTTGAACCCTCCTCCCGCTAAAACCCTTCGTTTCGGTCACGTGTCACTGCCACTGCCCTCTTCCCCTTCTTCCTAACCTTTGCGATCCTCGTCACTTCTCAACGCACCTACCGTCTTCACAATAATAGAGTTCGCCCTGTCATTGTCTCTGCATCTGGACAGAAAACTGCCCCAGATACGGCTATAATGACCGGGCGTTCTATTTGTGTGAAGACGGTAGCCACCCACACGGTCTGTGCTGACTGTTATGTCATTCCTCTCCTTCTCTCTCTCCCTCTCTCTCCCTCTCTCTCCCCTTCTTTCTCCCTCCCCCTCTCTCTCTTCCTTTCTCTCTCCTGTCTCCCATCGCAACCCACCCTCGCACAGCCTTCTCCTCCTTCCTTATCCCATCCCCCTCACTTTCTCTCTCCTTCCCTCTCTCTCCCTCGCCCGCCCTCTCTACCTCTCTATCCCTCTTTCCCTCTCTCTCCCTTCTCTCTCTGCCAACTCCCAACTCACTCAGATACAGCCTCGTCATCCCTGTCCCTCTGTCTCCCTCTTTCCCTCTCTCTCCCCTCTCCCCCTGGAAGGTCTATCCATGAAAGCTCCTCCCTTCTGTGTTTCCTTCTCTTCTCTCGGCTTTTCCTGTTCTTACCTCCGCAGTGTCATCCAACTCCCACCCCCGCTATAAGAGAAAACACTCCCTCCCCTTCTCTCTCACCATGCACCCACCCACCTCAACCCAACCCCTCTCTCTGCCCCCGCCCCCACCCTCTGAACTGGCACTCGATTTGCGCCCCCCTTCTCCCCACCTTCTTCCTTGGAACCGATCTCTTATGTCTCCTTGTCGCATCTCTTTCTGTCTCCTCCTCTCTTTTTTCCTCTCTCAGACTCCTCGCTGTCAGAGGGGGAAGCGATTCGCAGAGTCCAGTCCTTGAAAAGTCAGGAAAAACAAGTTATCGAGCATACTTTATGTATGTTCAATACACGTTTCCCCTGCAGAACGTTCCATTGTATGAAGAACACACGGTTTTCCGATTATTCGGGCCGCATGGGGGTGGGTTGGAGAGAGAGAGAGAGAGAGAGAGAGAGAGAGAGAGAGAGAGAGAGAGAGAGAGAGAGAGAGAGAGAGA